CTATCCTTCTTCCCTGCAGTCGCGACAACCGTCGTCAAGACAATCACCGTGTGCGCCTCTGTTGATGCGAATACAAGAGTGCTTGTGATTGACCCAGCGAGCAAGGCCTGCTACCGAGAAGCGTATGGATTGATGTTTGAACCGATGCGTCGCATGGGTCTTGTGATGCTTCCGTTGCCAAAGCCAAATTATGCCTCGAAAAGAGCCACAGTTGTAAACGCCATAAGGGGGAAGTCAAAGCCATAGTTCAACATTTCGTTGAGTTCGCGGGGTACAAGTTTAATGTTCGCACATTTTTTTTTTGTCTACGTAGAGCGTTTCAAGCTTTCGTCGCACTTCTTACACACAAACAGTTTGATACATGAGTCTATTGCAAACAATACGGAATGCACACGCTGGAAAAAGCAATGCAAATGAAATGTATTACTGCCATAGTGATGGGTACGGAGTCAAATGAGCTTTTTTCCCGCAGGATCGGCTACCATGAGTTATTCAAAAGGATTTCAAGGAAAATGGTGTTGCACAACAAATCGTGCGCGTCTTTTATCCTAATAAGTGAAATTGCAAGGAGGCGTGATGCTCCCTTTAATATAGAAAGTCTGCGCGAATATACCACACGCAGCCCACTATGCGTTGCTTTCATCCGTTTAGCCCGTACTAAGATACGTGCAATTGTACTCAACGCGACAGATCCACGCAATGGTGTTCAACGCGTCATGTTCGTTGCAACTCTACGTAATCTTTTCGATATCGCTTAGGTCAGAATCGATCCATTATGATAGGTTTATAGATAACAAGGGAGGTGGCTGATGCTGGCTCTGGTCCGGGGGAGGTAAGACAAACGCATGTCCGACGATGGTTTATCGTTTTAAACACTGCGAAACTAAACTGTCCAGATGTACTCAAGTATAAGGGAAATAGTATTTGCGTGGGGACATTAGTGTTCGCGCAGGGTGACAAATTTTATGCATATCCATTACGTAAACTGTAATGGCCATTCACGCACAGCCAGTTCTCAAGTGCTACGCGAAAACATTATTTTCTCGAAAGTCTCGTGAAACAGGTCCAAGTGCCATCATTATGACTGATGACTAATTCGTGACGCAAAGTACAACTGAGATATGATACGAGTAATGCGAGCGAGACTGAAATAAAATATGGATGAAATGGTATGGCACTAACGACACGCTTCTCTGGTCGCATTGCAGGCCGTGTTTGTACCGTGCGTTGAACTTTAAATTGCGCACAAATGCTCGCCTATTCTTGCTCCAGCCTCCTGGGAGCCGACAAATATGAAGGAAACGAAGGGCGCATGGAATAATAATGCCTTAAGAATCAGCGAGCTGAAAAGCATGCCACCCAAGGGATTACCAGCTCCGTTCCATGTGTCAACCGGAAAGTCTCTTCATGTATTCAATTTCAGAGGCAATTGCACTCCGAGTGCGTGGAGAATGGCGCCACGTGCCAGTATTTACAGGGTGATAGGCCATCTACCTCGGTAGGCAGCTCACATAAGTGAGCGTTTTTGTGTTTCGATTAGGTAAGCCCTTTATTCATGAAAACTCAAAACCTGAGCACACCTTCCACGTGGCCTCTCATTTTCATATGTAGGTGCTTGGAGGGAGTTTCATTCGGAAGAATTAAATATAAGTTTTGTCTTTCCATCGCTACGTTTCTCAATTTTGAGACTCAGTGATATGCATCATTCGCTAAAGCGATTATAACGACCTTTTTCAACGAGTTCATCGCGACCCTACCATTCTCGACATTTTGGCTTTCCGCATTCAAAATCCGTGGCATCGTCACTCCGCAGATATCATCGACACTTTTCAGTATGCTGCCAGCCCAGCCCAGCAAAATTGTCTTGCGGTTACTTGACGCCCAAAGGATGACACTTGATGTCGCACCTAAAACTAGCCTGTCTGGAACACCAGTACATCCTTTTTTGGAGGAGGGTGGGGCAAACATGGCAAGAACGTATAAACTTCAAGATGCCTGGCTATTATCGGAATCTGTTGCTGAGCCGCCAGGGCGTTGTCTGCACGGTCTGGGTGTTAACTGGAACATTGAGTTGATTCATGACCTGTGGATCGGTTCAGATAAATATTAACTGACGCCGACAATTACCGCAGCGAACCCGGAAGCCCCGTCGCCTCGAGAAGCCTATACTGCAACGATTCGCTCACGTACACGAGCACAAGCGCAACTGCGCTCCAAATACAGAAGGAAAATGAGAGAAAGGCAGCTTGGCTACTCAAAGGAACAAATGGTTAATCATGGAACCCTATCGGTCTGGCAGGCCTACCTTTAATGCCTTCCACGTGACTTGCACTGTAAATAAAGACAATCTTCGATGGAATTGGTAATGCGTTTCCCGGCGACTCCAGGCTTTAATCGAAAATAGTCCGGTATGCAACATTCGTGGCGGCCGTGGTAAGGGATTCGAGTACAGCCAACAGCTTGACGTTTTCTGAGTGACTCAGTCCGTGTGCTGTCTGAGGCCTAATAAACCGTCTGCACGACCACTCAATGCGCAAATACCGCATCACCTAAGCCTTGGCCGCAAGCGAAGCCAAAGCCGCAAAGCCTTAACTTGAAACACTGGCTTCTCTAACATCACTAACTAAAACACTACTTCGCCTGCTGAGCATCATTGTGCAATCCGAGAACGGAAAAGAGAACGATGCATATAAAAAATCTGCTGCTCAGAAACTTGGTCATGCCAGCGTTCAAATCGTTTGAATCCGAACCTGACCTTGAGAAAACACTCCTCAGATTCACGCACCACGGGATATATTGTGGGACTTCGCTTGTCCTCACGAATTGGCAGCATTTTATGGTGTAGCGCTCACGTTGCTTGATCTTGACTTTCGCTTCGAAAATCGGGCAAAATTTCGACAACGTTTTCAAGACTCAATCATACGCGGCATAGGCTTCCTAATGACGCCATTCTCCCCCTTGGCAGGTAGTTACGCTCACGCTTTGCGCTCAATCGTTCTCCTCTGATCAACCATGAATATTAATGGCGTCTTGGAAGTTAAACAAAGCTTACGACGTTTCTCAGATCCAGCACGCATCGTGACGTAGGGCTAGCTTGCAATACCAGCACGATGCACGCGAGACAGCATTTTTCCTAGCCAGCATTCCCTTTGCTCTTTACCTTAAAAGTGACCTTGGAAGTCGAGCAAACCTAGTAATGAGCTGAAAGCTCAGGTCAGATTTGAAGATAAGTATATTTATCTGCCTATACAATGTAGTAAAACTTGCACTCTCACTTTTCACGTCGCATGCTTTTCTACGGTATCCACCTGATTTCTAGAGGTCCGAGACTTCCCGAATAGTTTGAAGTGCCCTGTCGTAGATACCTTTCGTAGATGGATACCACTCAAAGCTTTTTGAAGTGTGAGATAAACGCGAACTAAATCATTCCGTAGACCAAGACCGCCACAGATGCGACAAAAAGGCACCCTTGGCCCAAGAGCCGACTGGGGCAGAAAATTCCAGCTGCAGTCCAGTTACGACAGACGAGCTCCGCTACTCGGCAGGGTCTGGTGACCCGGTCCTGTGGATGGCGGACAGTGTGATTCATGGTCTGATGACCCGGTCCTGTGCATGGCGGACAGTATGGTTCATGGTCTGATGACCCGGTCCTGTGCATGGCGGACAGTATGGTTCATGGTCTGGCGACCCGGTCCTGCGCATGGCGGACAGTATGGTTCATGGTTTGGCGACCCGGTCCTGTGCATGGCGGACAGTATGGTTCATGGTCTGGTGACCCGATCCTGTGCATGGCGGACAGTATGGTTCATGGTCTGGTGACCCGATCCTGTGGATGGCGGACAGTATAGTTTCATGGTCCTGATGATCCGGTCCTGTGGATGGCGGACAGTATGGTTCATGGTCTGATGACCCGGTCCTGTGGATGGCGGACAGTATGGTTCATGGTTTGGTGACCCGGTCCTGTGCATGGCGGATAGTATGGTTCATGGTTTGGTGACCCGGTCCTGTGGATGGCGGACAGTATGGTTCATGGTCTGATGACCCGGTCCTGTGGATGGCGGACAGTATGGTTCAGGGTCTGGTGACCCGGTCCTGTGAATGGCGGGCAGTATGGTTTATGGTCTGGTGACCCGGTCCTGTGGATGGCGGACGGTATGGTTCATGGACTGGTGACCCGATCCTGTGGATGGCGGACAGTATGGTTTATGGTCTGGTGACCCGGTCCTGTGGATGGCGGACAGTATGGTTCATGGTCTGGTGACCCGGTCCTGTGGATGGCGGACAGTATGGTTCACGGTCTGGTGGTCCGGTCCTGTAGATGTCGGACAGTACGATTCAGGGTCTGATGACCCGGTTTTGTAGATGGCGGACAGCATGGTTCGGGGTCTGGTAACTGCCGCCAACATCTCCACTGTCGCGGTGTATTGTGTGCTGCTGATGGTAGCGTTCGCCACCTAACCATTAGCGCGTCTGTCATGGATGATCGTCCCGATGAGGCGGATGACAGGAGATATTCTGACAGTCTCACTGAGCGCCGGCTGCGATGTATGCGCTGGGTGTGGCGACGTTTGCATCTTCCGAGGAGGTCTGGTGACGCGCCAGGAATAATACGGACCGACTTGATAAGCCTAGGCGGCAGCGAGAATGTTGGCATGCTCTGCCTCTCCCTGGATCTACTCAGTATGCAGGCACATGTGGCGTCATCAGACGACGAACGATATGTTATGGTGCATCAGCCCATAGAGCCAAGCGGATATTGGCCATATCTTGTTTTGATGAGCTATGCGAGGTTATAGCTGCAAGCAGCCAATCACAGATGATCTTTCGCATCCATTCAACCTCGCATTTTCTTGGAGTTTCAGTGCCACGTGCGATCGTACAACTGGTACCGCCGCGGGCTTGACATCGCTCCGCCCAGCCGCGAATCCCAGGCGACCGGCACACCCGCAACAGGCGACGCTGGGGCGTGCGAACGCCGAAGGCGACATCGCTTTAAACCCAGTAAAGACTCCACCTACGTTTAAGATATATTGACTGAATGATCACAAGCATTATATCATGAAGCAGCCACCAACCAAGTATGATGTTCTTTCGGAATAACACCGACGCTTGGAGAGAGCGAATGCGCGTCAGGTGGAGCTCCGCCGTGCGATCCGAGTCAAGTGTGTGGATCATCGTCTTGCATCAATAAAAAGACCTCGATTGAAGGAAATGCTCGGTCTGATGGCAACCGAGCACTTATTGCAGTTCCATCTACAAGGAGTGCGTGCGGAAAAGACAGTACAAAAGATCAGCCTGAATAATATTGAAGAAACATAAGGAGCGTTCAACAGCGCTAGAACTCGTACCTCCAGGGCAGAGCATTATTGACAAAGCTCTACAAAAACACGAGGCACTTAGAATTACAGAATTAAAACAAAAAAAGGAAATCACAGAGCCTATCATGAGGATGCCGACCGACAGAATGTCAAACGTAAGCGCTAGCACGGCTGCCAGGCTCACAAACTGGTCAGGAAGCTGCGCTGGGGCACCGTCGGTCCCCTCGCGCTTTGAGGTGCAGAGTACAGCGGTGGCCACCACCGATGATTGTTTCTGTGGGTCTTAGACGCCATACCAACTAACATAATTGCGCGGACCAGTGCAGCTGGCTTGGAACAGGGCCCAGGGGGCATCGGACCGGCGAGGAACACTAAAGTTTTATGAGAGCTGCTCTTGCTGGGACAGCAGGAGATTTCTGGTACTATCGTTAGCTTTCCCACGAGTCCTTCAGGGAAGGAAAATCTGGTCAGAACTATAGCCTTTACATAGTTACATTTATGACAGATTGTACGTCCCGACACCACTGTTCCAGTTATTTATGCGAAGCTTTCGCGTTTTTATTACGGGAGTAATTTTGCACCAAGATCTTCTCTACATCTTATCCATTCCATGTCTATGTCCTCCTCCTCTTCACCTCCTCCTTCCGCCTCCTCTTCCTCTCCCATTCTCTTTCTTTCTTTCTCTCTCTCTCTCTCTCTCTCTCTCTCTCTCTCTCTCCCTCTCTCTCTCTCTCTCTCTCTCCCTCTCCTCTCTCTCTCTCTCTCTCTCTC